GCAGCCAACTAACAAGTGGGTCCAAGGGTTTTCACCACTGACCAGGCATCTAAAAGACAGTTTGCAGTACAGCTGGAAGTGTTTGACTCTTAGGTGCGGGAGTGGACATAGAAGGCTCTGCACACTATCCCTACTCTAAGCACCGGTTCTGCTGCTCCCCTTGGCCTGGAACTGTGGACAGTGCTCAGAGTAGCTTTGCCGCAGCCAACTAACAAGTGGGTCCAAGGGTTTTCACCACTGACCAGGCATCTAAAAGACAGTTTGCAGTACAGCTGGAAGTGTTTGACTCTTAGGTGCGGGAGTGGACATAGAAGGCTCTGCACACTATCCCTACTCTAAGCACCGGTTCTGCTGCTCCCCTTGGCCTGGAACTGTGGACAGTGCTCAGAGTAGCTTTGCCAGGCATCTAGTTTTCAGCTGGAACACCAGGTCGAAAAGTGCCCTGTTGGCATTCCAAACTGGGCCATTAAAAGTCTGGTTGGTGGTGCAAAAGAGGCAGGGTTAAGTCAGGGGACTGGAGTGTGGTGGTGGTGGGGAGAAGGTGGGGGGCTCCAGGTTGATTATTGCAGATGCCAGATCCCTGTGATTTCTAGTCACATGGGAAGCCAGGGAGGCTCTGCATGCTGTGCCCACCACTGGTGCTGGCTCCACAGCTCCCACTGGCTGTGAACGGGAGATGAGAGGGTGGAACCTGTGGGTGTGAGGCAGTGAACCAGGCCTCGCTGGTTGCCCCAGAGCCTAAGAGAACCTGTTGGCCACTTTCTGGAAATCATAGTATTTGCCACTGGGACCCTACACTCTGAACCCCCTCACACACACTAACCCTTTGCCCCAACCTAGATCCTCCTCTCAGTGCCTGCAACCCCCCCCCCACTCCATCCTCCTGCCCCAATCCTGAGCCTTCTCTTGCACCCTAAGACCCTCATCCCCTGGTCCACCCCAGAAACAACACACCCAGCTAGGGCCTGACTCTCCTTCTGCACCTCAAACCTCACATCCTCAGCCCCATCTCAGAGTCTACACTCCCACCAAAGCCCTTAATCCCCAGAGCTCCCTACCCCAGCCCACAGCTTTCTCCTGCACTCTAAATCCCTAACTTCTGGCCTAATAGGGTATGTCTACACTACCCGGCTAGTTCGAACTAGCGGGGGTAATGTAGTCATCCGCACTTGCAAATGAAGCCCGGGATTTGAATTTGCATGAAGCTGGCCGGCGCCATTTTTAAACACCATTTTTAAATGCCGACTAGTTCAGATTAGGAAGCCTAATCCGAAGCAGCTACTCCGTGCCGCGTGTAGCTGCGCGGCACTGGGTTCGAACTAGCCGGCATTTAAAAATGGCGCCGGCTTCATGCAAATGAAGCCCGGGAAATTCAAATCCCGGGCTTCATTTGCAAGTGCGGATGACTACATTACCCCCGCTAGTTCGAACTAGTGGGGTAGTGTAGACATACCCCTTTAGAGTCCACATTCTCAGCTAAGAGACCATACCACCCCCAGCCCAACCCTCTGCCACAGCCTGTGGTCCCCCCCTCCTGAACCACAAACCTCTCATCCCAACTCCATCCCCACCCCAGAGCCTTCACCCCCTCCTGCATACCAACTTTGCCTCAGCCCAGTGAACGTGAGTGTGGGGGGGAAGGGGAGTGAATGATTAAGGGAGATGGAACAAGAGGGTGCAGGACCCCAGAAAGGGGGTCAGGTGGAGGCAGGGCTGTTTAGTTTTGTGCAGTTAGAAAGTTGCAGCCTTAGCACACAGCCCTCTGACCTTCCTTATGCTTTGGAGTTGGAAATGCTGGCTGCTTCTGGGAGTCATCTGAGTTAAGCATTGCTTGGATGGAGCCTGTACCCCAAACTCCGTCCTGCACCTCAATCCCCTGCCCCAGCTGTAAACCCCCACTTTCACCCCAAACTCCTCATCATAGCCCCACCCTGGAGCCCATACTCCAGTTGGAGCACTTACTCCCTTCTGCATCCCAATCTCCTGCCCCACTCTGGTGAAAGAGAGTGATAGTGAGGGAGAATGAGCAACAGAAGGAGAGAGGCTGGACTGAGCCAGGGCTGGGGTCTCTGAGAAAGAGTGGGGCAGGGGCAGAGCAGAGGGAGGGGCAAGGTAGTTCATTTATTTGTAATTGGAGCATTGGTAACTATAGTTGACACCAATGTAAGTATAAAAGCTCTTCTCCTTGCCCTACTTGAGACTCAATCTGGTTATACCTCCCCTAACTGTAGATTGTTATGAATATTAGCAAGTCAAATTATTAGTATAGTCAGTTAAATTGATGTAGCTATGGAAACGGAAGTTGCAATGTTGCCATTTTCTCTTTGCAGTAATAACAGGGAAAGTCTGACTGAATTCTGCATTTGAAAAGAAATGGCCAATTGTCCATCAGGCTAATCAGAAGAGTGGTAAGTTTACATTATACAACTTCCGGTTTCGTAGACATAACTATGGACAACCCAGCCCCCAAAGCATACTGTGATGTGAAGTTAGGCCTGTGGGCCCAGATCCACGAAAGATATGATGCATGTCAGTTCTAGTTTTAGGTGTCAAAGTGACCCACAAAACCCCTGCTCAGCTGCTGCCTAAAACCGAAGGTCCCCAAACTAAATGTACACCTAAATATTTGCTGTAAAAGTTGCCTATTTTTCTCCATGTGCATTACTACTTCACTCTAGGTGTAAAGTGCTTATAATAAGCAATTCAAGAATGACTGGAAAATGGGATGGGACCCTGCATCTCTTGCTATAGACTTCCAGGCTATAGACTCCTTTCCACGTAATGGTGCTGTAATTGTTTATCCACGGTGAGACAGTTTTAAGAGGAGAAATTGCAGGAGTCCTACACCAGAATACCACATAGCTCAGCACACAGTTCTGAACCTTGTTCAAATTAGCTTTCTCCCCAGACAGATTCCTACATTGGAGATGATTGCACTAACCATTAGTCAATACCTGCTGTTTTCTGTGTGTTCGGCGGGTGCCTAATTCCTTCTCACAAGAAGTGGCTTAGGTGCCTAAACTGCCTGATTCTAGGAAACAGGTTTCCATCTGTGAACTGCTAGCAAAGATAGGCAAGTCCCGACAGGCTGAGTTGGGCACTTAACTCAGTGATAGGGGTAGAATTTAGGGCACATGACTCTTGTCATCATCCCCCATTGGCTGGCTTAGATGGCCCCCACCTAAAATGCTGGCTTTGGTGTATTTCATTCTTAGGTGCCTATCACCATTCATTGTATATGGAATCTAGGCACCTACCTCAGGCTTTGTGGATCTAAGTGTTGTTACAAGTGATTTTCTGAGCACCTCAAAGTTAGGTGCTGTGATGCTCAGAAGTGTAACACCTAAATTCCTTTGTGGATTTGGTCCATACCATGGGTAACTACTGTGGAAAATTCAGAGGCACTCTAGAGAATGAGAAACTACTGTAAAAATTTGATAACTTTCATTGTTAACCTCTTGACTGGGTAGCTATTACCTGAGACAAGGTCCACATTAAACCAGCCACATCTGTCATGGATGTGGAAAATCTACACTCCTGAGCAATGTAGTTAAGTTGACCTAATCTCTGGCATAGAAAGCACTAAATTGATACAAGACTTTATCTGTTAATCTAATTAAAATGGAATGCTAAGCTATAGTATACTGTTCAGTTACTCAGTGACACTGTGTGTAAAATACCTTATTTAAATAAATCTCAGTCATATTTGGCAGGACATGAAATGATCTTGTGAAGTTGCACACCCAAAGTCTTTATGAAAATATGCTTATGAATTTGTATATGCAGAACTGAAAAATTAATTATGCAAAATACATCGCGCAAGGTATTTCAAAAGTTATAATCTGCTGAATGTATATACTCTATTTGTGTACACGTATCATTCTTACATTTGAAGAGTATGAAGTATAAACCTGTTTACTAATCTACATGTGCTAAACGAAGGCCATTAGTAGGACTCGAGGAAGTTAATGGCCTGATATGTGGGTCAATGATCTCTGAATAGTCTTGTTTTTCCTATAAGCCTGGACTATGGTTGGTCTTGCCAAGATGTGTGGCCAGGTCAGCTGATGTTGGAACCCATTTTGGATGCCGCACTTTCCACTGAAAGTGTGAAAAGTTTATACTGAACACAAAGGTTTCTTGCAAAGGAAAGATGTTGTACAAAGATATTGCAGCAGACATCTTAGATCAGGGTGGGAAAGCAAACAAGAGGAGCTAGGGCCAGACTCTAGAACACCCCTGTTTTTTCTACTCATTTGGGGGCCAGATCAGTGAGATTTTATGGGGGTGGGTTGTGCTTCTCATTTGTTTGTGGCCCGCGACTAATTTTTATTGTGGGTCAGTGGCCCCCATGCCAAAAATGGTCCCCCACCCCGAACTAAGATGTCTGTTGCAACTGCTTGGAACTGAACATTAAGAAGGATTGGGCCCAGCCAGGGAAAGCTATCCAGGTTGTGAAAGAAGCAGAAGAATTTGAGGTTGAGATTTTGTATGTAAAACAATGTCTTAGTGTATTAAGCTTACCAGGCATGTTTTGTTTTGTTTTCTTAGTAGCTTTAGTCTGTTTGCTGTTACTTGCCGGCATGTAACCCCTACTTTTTATACTTAATAAAATGAGTATTAATAAATTCAGTGTAAATAATTGCTACCTGCGAGAAACAGCAGTGCATCCTTCTCTTTCATTGGTAAAGGAGGCAAACATTTTATGAACTTGCTTTATATAAAAATGTATACAGAGAAAGATGAATTTATCTGGGGTTCCTGTCCCATTGGAGCTGTGCACCTTGGTTCTGTGGCAAGTCCTTTTGACTGATTCCTCCAGGAATTGAGCTGATCTCAGGATCTGTATCACTCTGCTGTGAGCTGTGACCCCAATTCTGTGCCAGTGCTGGAGGTGACCAGAAGGTCTGGACAGGGTGGTGGATGGGGCATCTCAAAGGACAGATAGCTGGGCTCAGTGGTATTTCAGCACAGAAAGTAACAGTCTCAAGGGGATCTCTGTGATTGAGCCGATCACAGATCTTATGATGAATACATCTGCTGTGTATTAACAAGCTCTGTAGCCTGTCCATATCTGGCACAGAGGAACATGATATGATGTCAGAATTACACTAAGAACAGAAAGAAAGGAATAAAGCAATAAAGGTTGGAAACAGAAAGTAACAAAGGTTGAAGAATCTCATCAATGTGTCACTCCTGAATAGCCCAGAGAACTTCAGCTTTGATAAACCTTCACATTGGACAGGCTGGAAGCAATATATTGCAAGAACAAAATGTTTTGTTCAGTAAATTCTATACATTTAGTCCAGTACAAAGGCTTTGTATTGCAAAGAAACTCCACAAAATTTTTAATGTGCTTTTGCGCAAGGGCATCCATGGAAGTGTGGATGCTCTCTTGCACAAGAAAGCTCTGATGGCCATTTTAGCCTTAGGTATTTCTTGCACAAGAAATTCATGTTGCCTGTCTACACTGCCTTCTTGTGGAAGAGCTCTTGAGCAAGAGGACTTATTCCTCATGGGGAGAGGAATAACTCTTCTGGAAGAATCCCTGTTTTCTGATGCTATACTGTAATTTACTTGCGCAAGAATGCGTGTGCAGTGTGGACGCTCTGCAAGTTTTTGTGCAAGAACACATGTTCTTGTACAAAAAGCCTGCAGTATAGACGTAGCCTAAGAGACATACCCTGGCAGGATTACCATCCTAATACTTCATAAAGTGGAAACTGAGTTAAAGAGAATGGAACAAACTGGAAGAACTGAGAAAATCAACAAGTCAACAGCATGGTACCAGTTATAAAAACAAAAGGGAAAAATACCAATTTGTGTGGATCTTAAAAGATTTCATGAAGCAGTTGTGAGAGAAAAATATATCTTCCCAACACTTAAAGATTTCTTTCCAAAAGTGAAAGGAACAACAACATTCTCCGAGCAGGATGCCTTGAATGGAGTCTGACGAATTCCTCTAGGCAAAGAAAAGTTAACCTGGCTACAGTTACCACACACTTTGGGAGATTTTTCTTTCAAAGATTACATCTGGGGATTTCCAGTGCACCTAAAATTTTCCAGATGGCATAATTGTATTATACTGTTCTCCTGCTTGATGGCACTCTGTGTAAAATGACTTATTTAAATAAACTTCCATCATACTGGGCACAGCATTAAAGCATCTTACAGTGAATACATGTGGTGTTATAAGCAAACTCTGTAGCCAGTTCATATCCGTTGAGAAGAACATGGCACTCAATATCACCTCTCTTGGAGCTGGATTAACTACAGCTTTTGGGAGACCCTTCTCCTGTCACAATAGGAAATGGCTACACTGAAGTGCTATAGTAGATCAGATACAGGGCTGCAGTTGAGTAGAGATTTAGATGTAGACATATCTGAACTGTTGGCTTCTCTGCAATATTTTACTCTCCATATTTGGAATAGGGAATAAAAAAATGAGCTATCACACAGGAGACATGGATATACTTTAACAGTTAAGTATCAGAGGGGTAGCCATGTTAGTCTGGATCTGCAAAAGTGTCAAGGAGTCCTGTGACACCTTATAGACTAACAGATGTATTGGAGCATAAGCTTTCGTGGGCAAAGACCCACTTCGTCAGATGCTTAATTTAACAATTAAGGAGCTGCTGTATAGTTCCACATGAATCAAAACCAAAATATTTTGTTTACCAAATTTTATACATTCAGTCCAATAGAAAATTTGCTACATTTTATGAATAACAAAGTCTACTGGTTAATTGTTAGGCTTGAATATCAACATACTAACTCCACAACTTCTCAGAATTTATATGGGTATGTAGGCCTGCATCTTGCACCGTTATAATCAGTGAAAGCTTTGCCACTGACTTCAGTGGGAGCAGAACCAAAACTCGTGTATTTCATAATGGTGAAACTACTGCAGGATTTTCCATACTTATATTCATCTGGGTGATAAGGGATTTTATTATCCATGTCAATGAAAGATAGCATTATGGACTGTCCACTTAACAGAACACTAGAAATCTGTTCAGACAACATTCCAATGTATTTTTAGCTGGAATTGTTTCTTTTCCTCCCCTAAAGCCACTGTTTAATGACAACTGAAAAAGAATTGTAATTAGTTGAATGTTTGGCCCCAAACACTTAAAAATAATGAAAAGAGTAAATCACTGCTGCTTTGGGAACTCAAAGATCAGTTTCTTCCCAAAAGTTGTATATGTCTAGGGATTATCCATAGGAAACAGTATGTAGATTCCAGCAAGGGTCAATCTGATGCAAAGATTTCAACTTTTTTATTGCTGTTTGGATATGGGTTCTGAATCAGATAGTCCCTTTTGGAACTTACTTTAAATGAATATGTTGAGCATCTAAACATCCAGCATATCAGACATCAGCCAGTGTACTATGTCTTAGCTCTTAT